GGTACTAAACAGCTTTTGTAAAGATACATTTTAGCTGCTCTTTGAGTTCTACTCTTTTCTAAAGAGTTAAATGTGTGCTTCAGGGTCGAATGCTGAAAAGAGCTTTCAGTAAGTTGAAGCTTGAGCATGTGGTGATTGGAAAAGGACAGTTTAAGCAAGAAAGAAGTACTACAGATACTATGGAGGTTTGTGTTTCTAACCCCTGCAAGATACATATTCCGTTGTATGGTGCTTTGTAGCAGCTATAGTTTTGAGATGCTTTTGTGTTTCAACTGTATTGTAATTGAATTTTGACATCCTTTAAATAGTATATCATGTTGAAACCTCTGCCACCTTGGATGACTGATCTTTCAGGAAGAGGACTTGTTAACACTGTTGAGAGATGATGATACCGAAGAGGACAGGTTGACGCAGACAGATATCAGCGATGAGGATCTACAGAGGATTTTAGACCGAAGTGACTTGGTTGTTGGTTCCGCAAGTGAAGATGAATCAAAGGTAAATGTGGTTCCACTTAAAGGACCCGGTTGGGATGTTGTTGTTCCAACCGCTAGCGGAGGCATGCTTTCTACTCTCAACAGCTGATAAGGAAGGGAAGGGACTCATGGGCATGGTTCATATGCACAAAATTAGATGTTTTTGGGAGCTAAGCAACGTTGATGTTATCTACTGTTTGCAAATTTATGGTCTTGTTGACAATCCCTATCACTGCAATGTCTTTTTGATAACATTAGCAGCATTTTGTAAATCATTATTATGATATTTTTAGATTATTAATCTTAAATTGACCATAACTATATTCCATGTGTTTTTCCTAGTTAAAAGTTTTGGTTTGTTAATCTTATTTTGGGTCAGCAATAGGGATGTCAAGTGGAGTGGGACTTCAATGGCTCCTCTTAACCTTCTTTTTTCTTCTTCCCATTCTGCCCCTACAGACTTGTCACAAGTTTAAATAATAAATAATTCTTTTCACTTAATTGGTCTAACTTTTTTTGAAAACGTCATTTAAGGGAGATTATATTTCTTAAAGATTATGGAAAATAACTCTTTAACGGGCAAATAAATTTCACAAATTGCATTTCAAATGATGGTATCTTTATTACGTTTTAATACACTTAACCTTCATTCAATCGTGTAGTTCTCATTCCCACTGCTCCACTTCATGATACCTTTATTACATTAAAAAGTTGCTTTCAGAATAATATTTTTTTGCATTATGTTGAATCATTGTTACGTATTGTATTGTATCATTACTATATCTACAAACGTAAAAAAGTAAAATAAATAAGAAATCTTCCCCTTTATTTTTTTTTTAAAAAAGTATTTTTCTTGTGAAAAAAGACGGAAAAAGATAGCAGAAAAAAAGGTTATTATTCCGTTACCGGGAATCGAACCCGGGTCTCCTGGGTGAAAGCCAGATATCCTAACCGCTGGACGATAACGGATTGTTGTTTTATTAGTGACAAAATATAATATTTATTTAATAGAGATGAATGTACAAATGGCTGATACAAAATGCAGAAAATGTATAACTTAACAAATTTATAGGATGGTTGGCCATAAAAAAAGAAGCCCTCATTTTAAATTTTTTAAAATTATAATTGGATTCATTATAAAATCAAAATAATATTTCGAATTTGTATGTACTTCTCTACATATAATTTATATCCTTTTAAAAACTAATAAAATTATTGAATGATACTCAAACAAGATATAGTTATAATGAAGCAAACCAGTTTTCAACACAAGTTCTGAATATATTTATAATCACAGAACTCTAATTACAACTTAGAATTCTAAGGTAACAAAAACGTAATTAAAAATAAAATATATAATAAAAAGATAATTAAAGGGGATGAGTGTTGGGTTTTATTTGCCCTGATTTCTTTCCATAAATAGGTTTTCCTTTTAGGAAAAGGTTTTAAATTGACTATTCTTTTTTTGGTAGGAAAAGGTTTAGGACTCTATAAATAAAGGCATGTTCCTTCTAACTTAATTAGCATTCACAATGTAGTTTTAAGGGTTTTGAGAGTTTTGGTTAGAGGGAGAATTTGTGAACCTCTCATGTATTCCGAGTGAATTGGTTGAGGTTGTTTCCCTCTGTATTTTGTACTCTCATGTTTATAGTGGAGATTGCTCATCTCCTTTGTGGACGTAGGTCGATTGACCGAACCACGTTAAATCTTTGTGTCTTTTGGTATATTTCTCGTTGTCTTCTTACTCATGGTCTTTCGAGGTTTGCTTTGCTAGCTTCCGAATTTAGACCTGCTTATTTACGGTCCTAACAATGAGATATTAGAAATAAGATCAAAGCTTCTACAGAATATACATAATCATTCTTTTTAATCCTTAAATCATTAATTAATTGAATCTAAACTTCCAAATAAAACTCTATTGTATACTACTTTAATTCGATATTATCAACTGAATCAGTCATATTTACAGTCTAGGCCATAATAAATAATCTATCTCGAACCCCATTATAAAATAAAATAATAGAGTATAAACCGTAAAATAATAGAGTATAAACCACCTGTATGTATTATTAAAAGTAATATAAAGTGACCAATATAAATTATGATCGTTTAGACCAAATTAAGTCATTATATAAAATGATTTATCAAAATAAAATATTTTTTAAATTTTTTTATAGAATTAGTATAAACGTATTTTATAATAACGTTTTAGGGTATATCTTATTTTTTAAAAGCTGATGGCATTAGTTTATATACGTTACTCAAAGTAACATTTTATTACTAAAACGTTACTGTTATAAACATTTTACTCCTAAAACGTTATTCACAGTAACGTTTTAGAAGTAAAACGTTACTATGAGTAACGTATATCAACCTAACGCCGTCAGTTTTTAAAAAATAAAATATACCATAAAACATTACTGTGAAATACGTTTATACTAATTTTGTAAATTTTTTTTAAAATGTATTATTTTGATAAATTGCTTTATATAATGACTTAATTTGATAAAAATTAAATTATACGGAGCACGATTATTTAAATTTACTTGAAGCTTCAACGTGAGCTTCGTATTGCATAGTAAATAAAAAGAAGGGAAAATTTCATATATGACAAACTTATTTGATTAAATAACATTATATGGGTATAGTTTACCTAATTACATTATATGAGTATGGTTTAGTTATTTTAGATATCTTTAATTTTGTATATAATTTTTTTTTTATTTATACAATTCTATTTTAAAAAGTGGTTTGTAACTGAAGCGTTAAATATGCTAACAATAAATTAAAATAATGCCACAATTTTAGGAAAACGTCCCTTTTTTTAAGCTAAACGTTCAAATTCAAAAAAAAAAATCATACAGCAAGTGAAACAAAAATATAATTTTATATATACTTACATATATATACAAAAAAAATTAAAAAAGAAGTCATGCACAAATTAATTTCTGTATATATATATATATGAACTTACCTTTTTTGTATATTGATATGTGTACATGAATATATTAGTTAAACATGACATTATATACAAGTTTCTAAATGCCTTTTTATATAAACTCCAATAATATATAAAGTTAATATATACTAACTTCAATAATTTGTATATAACTACTACAATATACAAATTATAATCACATATGATATTTCCCCATCTATATAACTAAATCCAATTACTTTGTGTATATATGTATATAAAAAAAATAATGAGCCTTTAATATATAATCCCCTTCTACCAGCTATTAAAACAGACATGTACATATCAATTTTTGTATATGTATATAAACTTAATATTTACTAACTTCAATAAATTGTATATAACTAATAGAATATACAAATTCTAATCGTATATGAAAATTTTCCATCTGTATATTTAAGTCCAATTACTTTTTTGTATATATATATACAAAAAACAAAAATAACATAAACATGCAATGTACTATATACAATTACTAAACATGGAATATACTATATACAATACTTAAGCAATATTTTTTGTATATTGACAACTAATTAACCAAAAAATTGTATCTAACTTTGTGTTTTAATACACTACCTCATGATTATGAAGTTCTTCAGATCCGACAACTTCAGAATCATTTTCCCCCGATTCAATGTTTACAGCTTTCCTCTTTCTTCTTCCTTGTACAATTGTAATGCCTCTAGCTTTGACATTTTTAATAACTTGTTGAACTGCCATAGGGTCGTTTTTTTTTCTTTGATCTCAGCTCTTCCATGTTTTGTTCTTGTATAACTTGTTTTGATTTTCCCAAAGACCCTACATCAACCCCAAAATCTTGAGTTAACCCCATTGAAAAGGATGTTAAATTTTCAACAACATTGACATGCAAAGGACTACCTCTGGTAATCCTCAAAGATGGAGATGATTCATTCATTGTTTGACCAATTTTAGATTTATCAAGAACAAAAAATCGATTATTTCATCAAAATATATGAAAAAAATAATAAACAGAACACATATACAAATTTTGAATAAGTAAAAAAAAGAAGAAGAGGTAAACAACTAAAATTAAGGAGTACTTACGAAATTGACTTCAACTTCGGGAGGGAGTAATCTAATTTTGGACAACAATTTGAAGTTCAAACCGGATAGCTGGAGTATTAAATGTAGGAGAAAAAGTTGGAACGTGAAAAGGAGAGAAAATTATTTATATACAAAATTAGAAAATAAGGTTTTTATACTATTGGTTACATAATAGGTTGTGGTCCCATTAATTATAGCAAAAAAAATTAAACTATAATTATATAAGGTAAATAAATTAAACTATACCCCTGTGATATAATTAGTTATGAATGTTTGTCATTTTACATATAATTTTCCCTAAAAAGAAAGCAGTAATATAAAATGAGGATGATTTTAAATCCTTTAACGTGTCACATAGGAGAGAAGAAATAAACCTGTGTGGCTATTTTTAAGGCATAGCACTTGTCTTAAAGAGACAACAATAAGTGTATTTTGATGACATTATTTCATCATCTTGTTGTTTGTTTATTTATTTCACATGATGATACAACTCCTTATCTATAAAATCGAATGATCAAAGACAACAAAGTTTTAAGAATGATTAACACAATAAAATTAGCAAACAGAGCACAAATACCACCCTCTGTTCTGTCAAATCCTTTGCCATACCATATTGCTAGAAACAATTCAGACATCAGATTTCGACAATTTGTAACCTCTGCTGGACAACCAGACAACAACAACATGGATCAAACTAATAACAAACCTCAACAAGACAAAGCTGCGTAAGTTCCCCCCTTTTTTTTTACACTTAATTACTTGTTAGTTATGATTAGATTCAGTGAGTGCACGTGCATCTTTTAACTTTAAAAAATTATATGTATATATTTGAGAAAAAATTATGTATAGATATTTGAGAAAAAATTATGTATAGATATTGAGAAACTGACTGAAATTAATATATAATTAATAATATACTCATAAAAAGCATTACTAGTTAATTCTGATTAGATTCAGTTAGTTAGTGCACGTGCATTACTAGTTAATTCTGATTAGATTCAGTTAGTTAGTGCACGTGCATCTTTTAACTTTAAAAAATTATATTTTTTAACTTCAAAAATTATGTATATATATTGAAAAATTGACAGAAATTAGTATATAATTAACTATACTCATAAAAAGCATTATTAGTTAATTCTAATTAGATAATTCTAATTAGATTCAACGAGTGCACGTGCATCTTTTAACTTTAAAAAATTATAAAAAATTATGTTCATATATTGAGAAACTAACAGAAATTAATATATAATTAACAATATACTCATAAAAAGCAAAGGAGTGTCACTGTTGTGCTACTTTACGAGCTAGAGAATCTACCATCAAGATTTGGGTGGATCTGAGTAGCTAGACTTTTTTATTTTAAAATTTTATATATTTGAGCTGAGGTAATATTGATGCATTTAAAATTTTTGAATTATTTTGGATTTGCGTCTTGATTAGATTCAATATCGATATAGGTTTAGAGATATTTACAAAGAGTTATAACCAATTCAGCGATAATTAAACTATTATCTTTGACTTATTCGTTCTAATTCTAGAACAATATTATATTGTTAATTTTATTTTTTTGTTGAGTAGTGATGATATTAATAATAATATGTATGTAATTTGATTGAAGGGATACGATGTCAAGTAGCTATGGAGATGCATATGCAACAAGATCAGATGAAGAAGGTTTTGGAGGGATTTATGGTGGAAACAAAGAGGATGAAGAAAATATTGAACATGGCAAAGCTCCTGGTATTGTTACTTATTAATTAAAAATACAGGTTTACTCTCTTTTAAAGTGTTGATATATATAATTTTCTGATTAATTGTATTGTTCTAAAAAATAGAGTATGAAACTAAACAAGGAAGTGAAGTCAAAGAGAAGGAGAAGGCTCGTAATCAGCCTCAAGCAGATTGATTTTTTTTTTTATCATAACGCATCTTAAATACATGTGTATTTATTAATAAGGTTTACTAAGAGATGTTTAGTTTCGTTGTAATATTATTAAGGAACGTTTAATGTTTCATTACTATGTTTTTTTTTTTGACTTTTGACTTTTTGTCATTCTTTTTAACACTCTATTTCACGCTTGATGCCTAACATGAGTGTCACATTGTGATGTGTACAATTTTTTATTCTGGAGTTCCAATATTGGGTGAGATGTTTAGTTTGCTTATAATGTATGAACGAACGTTTGATATTTCATTATGTTTTTCTTTATTGGAGTTTTGGTTATTCTTTGAACATCTCCATCCCATGTCACGGTTAGTGCTCATGTCACGGTTAGTACTTAACATCTGTTACAGGGATAACTGATTGGTGAGCAGAGCCAAGGAAAGAGGAAAGTCGATTATAGATATCCTTGTCATTTTTTAATTCATCTCATATCAAGTGTTTATTCAGTGCTTGGCATCTGGAAGTCGAGCAAAGCTGGTTATAGATATTCTTGTCATTCTTTAATTCATCTCATATCAAGTGCTTATCCGGTGTTTAGCATCTGGAAGTCCGTTATGGATATCCTTGTCATTTTTCAATTCATCTCATATCAAGTGGAAGCCCGTTATAGATATTCTTGACATTCTTTAATTCATCTCATATCAAGTGCTTATCCGGTGCTTAGCATCTGGAAGCCCGTTATAGATATCTTTGTCATTTTTTAATTTATTTCATATTCTTAGCACCTGTTGCATGAATAATTTTTGATTTTTTTGATTTTGGGGTTCTAAGATCGGAATGAGTTTTGCTCTAATATCATGTTAAAGTATGTCTTATGTCTGATTTAAGCTTCAAAAGGTACCTCACTTTGAGGAGGATTGCTTATACTTTGTCAAAAGTATAGCTAAGCCATCTTATTAATCATTGATGTGGATATTTTGTTATTTTTTAATAAAAGAAAAATAAAGAAAACCTCTTTTCTTTGTCTTGATTTTGTTCGAAAGGATCCTCATGTCACGGCTAGTGCTTAACATCTGTTGCATAGATAACTGATTGAGTGAGCCGAGCCAAGGAAAGAGGGAAGCCCGTTATACATGTCCTTGTCATTCTTTAATTCATCTCATATCAAAGTGCTTAGCATCTGAAAGTTCGTTATAGATATCTTTGTCATTTTTTAATTCATCTCATATCCTTACCATCTGTTGCATGAATAATTTTTATTTTTTTTATTTTGGGGTTTTAAGATCGGGTCGAGCTCTGTTATGATATCATGTTAAACTATGTCCTTATGTCTGATTTAAGCTTCAAAAAGGTATTTCACTTTGAAGAGGATTGCTTATATTTTGTCAAGGGTACAGCTAAGCCATCTTATTTATCGTTGATGTGAATTTTTTGTTATTTTTTAACAAATTTAAACAAACATTTAATAATTCTTTTCTTAACAGAACTCTCAAATCCCTTTAAGGTGGGCTATATTGTGAATTTTGATTAAGTAGAAGAGATCTCTTATTAATTTGGTTGCGCAAGTATTGTAAGAGTTAGTGTTTCAATTAATTTTGAAACAAATTCGTTTTGAAATAACAAATTCATGAATGTGAGTTGTAACATTCATTCATTTTAATTCTTTGTTATTAACTTTTGCATTTGTTATTAACTTTTGCAATAAGTTTTTTTTTTTTAATTCTACGTTATGGGTTTTTGAAAGACAAATTTTTTGTTTTCAATTCATGAACCTAATAAATTCTATTAATTAAAAATCTTTTCTTGCAAAACTTTTTATCCTATAAATTGAGTTTCCTTTGGTTGAAAAAGATAAGCATTCAAACAAAAAATACTTTCCCTTGAAAACACTTGTGAGACATTGATCAAAAGGTGAAATCACCAATTCAAGAATAGAAGAGCAACATTCTTGAATGCTACTTGTTTTGTGGCTTAGTTGAATCCCGAAGATAGAGTTGTTATTTATTCTTCCGATTGCTCATGGGAGAAACTCCAACTATCTTCAAGAAACGTATTAACATGCCTCTAAGCCAAGCAAGTTTTATTTTGTATTCCTTGTAATTTTATAATTCTTGTTCATTTGTTCTAACAATTTGAAGATAGTTGTCTCTATGGCATCCACATCAATAACGAATAGTGTTCCATCTTTGCCTAATCCTAATTTTGAAATATTTGATGGAAAAGACTTTTCTAGATGGCGTGGAAAGATGGAATTCTTTTTAAGACGATTAAAGTTAGCATATGTTTTTGAGAAACCTTGTCCTGAGGCTCCTAGTTCTGAGGTAGCAACGGACGAGGCTACTTTAATTAAAGAACAAACTGTCAAATGGCAAGATGATGATTACTTATGCAAGAATTATATTCTTGGAGGAATGTCCAATAAATATTATGATCAATATTATATTAAGTGTAAATTTGCTAAGGAGATTTGGGATACTCTTAATTCTATTCATTTAGCAGAAGAGGCGAGTTCAAAGAAATTTCTTGTTTCAAATTATATGGAGTTCAAAATGGTTGATGACAAGTCAATCACTGAACAAGTATAAGAATTTCAACTTATAACTAATAAAATTGTTATAACTGGAATTGCTCTTTGATGAAAACTTTCATGTTGGTGCGATTGTCTCAAAACTTCCTCCATCTTGGAAAGAGTACAGAAGCAAACTCTTACACAAGAAGGAAGATTTAACTCTTGAACAATTATTGCAACACTTGCAAATTGAACAAGAGACACGATACCGCGACAATAACATCTTGAGGGAGCCTATCATAAAAGCTCATGTTGTTGAAGAAAAGATCAAAAAGGAACCTGCCAACAATAAATTTTTGAAGGCAAAGAAGAGTAAAAATTTCAAGCGTACTAATTCTAATTCTAAATCGATTGAATGTTATCATTGTCATAAAATTGGTCATTATGCACGTGATTGTAAAATTCTTAAAGCTGAAAAGAAGAAAGAAAAGGCAAATAACAATACAAAAAATGAACTGGTGGCAATGGTCACAGAAGCATTTGTAGCGGGAGATCAAGTGGAATGGTGGATAGACACTGGTGCAACTCGTCATATATCAGGTAATCGAAATTCTTTCACAATATATGAATTAGTGGGGGGGCGATAAAGTTTTGCATATGGGAAACTCATCCTCTGCTAAGGTTGTGGGAAAGGGAACTGTTGAACTAAAATTCACTTCCGGAAAGATGGTCACATTGATAGACGTATTGCATGTTTCTGATATTCGAAAGAACTTGGTGTCACGTACGCTTCTTTCGAAACATGGTTTTAAAATAATTTTTGAGGCAGATAAATTTATTTTGTCTAAACAAGGCATGTTTGTTGGAAAAGGTTATGCTACAAATGGCATGTTCAAACTCAATATTGAAAATGAAAATATTTCTGCTTATATTGTGGAGTCTTTAGATTTATGGCATGAATGTCTTGGTCACGTGAATTTTAGATCCATTCAACTTATGATGAAAAATGGATTAATTAAAGACTGTGGAAAGGATCATGTTGCTAAGTGTATTACCTGTAGTAAATATAAAATAACAAAGAAACCTTTTAAGTCTGTTGAAAGGATATCCACACTTTTGAAAATAAATCCACATTGATATTTGTGAGATGGATTGTTTATCACGTCATGGAAAGAGATATTTTATCACTTTCATTGACGATTACTCAAGGTATACATATGTCTTTCCATTAAAAACAAAAGATGAGGCATTTGAGACTTTTAAAACATGTAAAGCAGAAGTTGAAAATAAATTGAGTTTGAAGATTAAATCAATTAGATCTGATAGAGGTGGAGAATATTTAAAATCAAAATTTTTTGATTATTGTGAAAAAGAAGGCATTGAGAAACAATTGACTATGTCTTATACACCACACAAAAATGGTGTAGAAGAAAGAAAAAATAGAACTCTCATTGAAATGGTTAACTCTATGCTTTATGGATCTGGTATCATTGAAAATTTGTGGACTGAAGCCTTATTTTCTGCATGTCATATTTTGAATTGAATTCATTCCAAGAAACATGATTCATCTCCGTATGAACTTTGGATGAATCGAAAGCCAAATATAAACTATTTTAAAGTATGGGGTTGTTTGGCTCATGTTAGATTACCAGATCAACAATTGACTAAGATTATAGAGGAGTAGATTGTGTATTTATTGGTTATTCACAAACCAGTAAGGCTTATAGATTTTTGAATCTTGAGACTCCAAGCCCTCACACAATTATTGAATCGTTGCATGCTAACTTTTTTGAGCATTTATTTCCTAAGAAAAAAGAGTCTTTGGAACAAAATACAAGTTCTTCTGTATCTACTCTTAAAAGAAAAATAGTTGAACCCTTGGAAGAAAGTCAACCAAGACGTAGTGCAAGATCAGCCAAACCAAGAGACTTTGGACCAAATTTTCAAGTCTATTTAGTTGAAAGGGATCCTGAAAGTTATGCTGAAGCAATGGCTTCACATGATGCTCCTTTCTGGCGTGAAGCTATTGATGATGAAATGCACTCCATTATGTCAAACAATACATGGATTTTATCAGATCTCCCTCCTGGATGTAAGTCTATTGATTGTAGATGGATCTTTAGAAAGAAATTAAAATCTGATGGAACCTTAGATAAGTACAAAGCTTGTTTGGTGGCAAAAGGTTTTATTCAATTGAAAGATATTGATTATTTTGATACATTTGCTCCTGTAGCTCGAATGACTTCTATTCGACTCTTGATTACCTTAGCCGCAATTCATAGCCTGGTAATACATCAAATGGATGTGAAGTCTGCATTTCTGAATGGAGATCTAGATGAAGAGGTTTACATGAAACAACCAGAAGGATTTGTTGTTCCTGATCAAGAACACAAATTTTGTAAGTTTCTTAAATCTCTTTATGGATTAAAACAAGCTCCAAAACAATGGAATGAGAAATTTAGAAGAGTAATGATTTCTAATGGCTACTCAATCAATGATGGTGATATTTGTATATTTAGCAAATTTCAAGAAAAATCTGGTGTTATAATATGTCTTTATATAGATGATATGCTGATCTTTGGAACTGATATTGAAAGAGTCAAAGAAACAAAATTTTTTCTAGCTTCTCAATTTGAAATGAAAGATCTTGGAGAAGCTGATGTAATTCTGGGTATTAAAATTATAAGATCAGCGAATGACTTGACTCTTACTCAATCAAGTTATATTGAGAAAGTTCTAAAGAG